TTCTGATTAACTCAACTTTCTTATCCCTAGCTCAGAAATCAAGGCTTAACACCCAGCTCTCAATAGCAAGCCAGTATGATTAGAAAAATAGTACTGATGAGAAATGCAGAGTGTAGATCTCATTTAAATTTAATTGAGAACATAATCCATTAAATCACTCCTGAAGATATCTCACTTTAGGCCATTTTAAAAAAATTCAAACTATTCAAAAAAAGAAATGCAATGTTCTGTGTGTCAAAGGAAACAATGTTATGATTTGATTACCCATCCATACAATGATCACTGCAGCCATCTAGACCCCTAAGGGAATTATTCCTTCTGGATAGACAAGCTTTCTGGAGCTGCACTTCCAATACAACATCCAATGGTCACATGTAACTATTTAAAATTAAATTTAATTAAATTTAAATAAAATAAAAAATTCAGCTTCTCAGTCGCAGTAGTCACATTTCAGTGCTCAACAGACATATGTGGCTGAAAGGCTCCTGTGTTGGACAATGAAGACACAGAGTATTTTATCATCACAGAACGTTCTGTTTGACAGCACTGGGCTAGAGACCAGGAGACCAAGACTTTCTGCATCAGACCAAATAATTCTAACCATTTTAATGATAGAGTTTCCACAATGTAATTAATATTCATATCTACAGAGAATATAGGTTAGAATTGAACATTTTATTTTTTTACTTTGGACAATGGTTCTCAAAAGTCAGTTGTGCAGAAGAATCTAGGAAGTTTGCTAAATGCAGATAACTCACAGAGTGAGGCAGTAGGTCTGCAATAGGGATCCATGAATCTGTATCTTAAATATATGTCCTTGGTAATGCTAACATGGGTAGTCCCTCAACCACATTTTGAGAAACACATGCATCAGAAAATTCCAATGATCAGTTTACACATTCTGATTCATTTACTTGAATGGATAAGCATTAATATGTATACATAGGCAAGCCCTTGTCTCTCTACAAAAGTGTAAACTGTTCCACAAAGCCAAAGAAGGTGCTTTCAGGGTATGAGATCTGAGGAAGGATGAATACAGAAAGAAAAATCAAGAAGACAGACACACTAGAAACAAATCTTTTGAATAGAATATTCCAGAATATCTATACAGGGCAGAAGCTATCTGGAACTATCAGGCTCTGGGAACAGTTTTGAACCTTGAGCTATCAGGAAGAGAAAACTATTTGGTGGTATAGTTTCTGAAGATCTTAATATTACATATAAATGCTAAGTATGTACAAGGTACTAGACAAGGTGCTAAGAGACTAGTAAAATAAAGTTGTTAACTTCAAGAAACTCAGTCTAGTAGGGGAAGAGAGACTAAAAATAAGTATAATACAGTATCAAGTGTCATTTCAGCTGAACCTTAAATGTTTAGTGGCTCTGGAGTTGGAAACGTAGAAGAAAGGCAGTTAAAATGTAGAGAACAACATGAGGAAAAGCAAGAGCTTGAAAATTTGGGGCATACCTGGTGACCTAGAAGTGGTCTAGAGTGGCTAGTGAATAGAGTTTAAAGAAAGTTGTGTAGTGGGAGATGGGGGTATAAAATGCATTTTGGGCACCTGGGACAAGACCATGGATGGCACTGAATACCTATTTGGGGAAAAAAGTCCTTTAGAAGGTATTTCAGGAGAGTAGTGATATAAGATCTGCATTTAGGAAGAACACTAACAGCCAGGCATAAAGTGGAGTGTGGAAAGAGTAGATGCTGGGAAGATGTGCTATGATTTGGTCATTTGGCTGCATGGAAGAAAAACTGCACTCTGGTTGACAATGTTTGTTCTTGCAAAAAGCTGGGAATCAAGAGGGAAGCAACAGAATGTAAAAGGAGTTTTTAAAGCTGAAAATCTGAAGAAAGAGCATGAGTAGCGGCAGTGTGTTTAGAAGCTGTTGGGGATGTAGTGAGCCACCATGACTCCGGCACTAGAGAGTACCAGCAATGAAGGTCAGAAAGAAAGTAGAATCTTCAGTCTGGTGAGAAGACAGCTCTACACTGTCTAAGTCTTCTGAAGTTATGGACAATGGAGTATCTGTTATGGGAAAACAGTGGGAAAACAGCTTCTTCAGTGAAGTGCCCTTAAAAAATACAACATATCACAGAGTAGTTAAGGGCATAGGCCCTGGACACAGACTTCCTATAATCGAATCCTGATTCTGCTATATAGGAATTTTGTGATCTGGTAGGTCCTGGTTTTTCTACCCTTAAAATGGAAATAATAGTGCCTACCTCATAGGAATGCTGCGAAGGTTGATGGGTTCATACATATAAGGTATTTATAACGTGGCTTGGTACATAGTAAGCACTCAGTAAATGTTGGCTATTATTATCATGCGTATGTATCAGTGAAACACACACTTAATTGTGCTATGTTCAATAACCCTTGAAGGTGTGAGGGCTATATCTAAGGGATGGTGATCAGTATAGTTTAGCAGCCCAAAGGACACTGTCCTGCATAGGCAGCATGCCTTAGTATTACTCATAATGAGTATCTTAAGTCCCTTTTGGAAAAATACAGATATGAGTAAGGTTTCGAAGCTTGTAATTATTTTTAGTGATTCCCCTTAAGTAAGCCAACAAGTCAGCCCTGGCACATCACTGGCTGGTATAAACCAGCCCTTATACTCCCATCTATAAGACCTGCATTTCACTTCCCTAAAACACACTCCAAGGTATACTGAAGGAAAAAAAATCTATTGGATTAACAACTTCAGCTTCCTAAACAGCCAGAACCTAGAAACCCACCCCATCTCCAGTTACTCTTGGCCTCAAACAGCACAGGGAAAAAATGATTATTTTGCAGATAAAAGACTTTCTTTCACCAATCAGATAATGTAAATTTCTTTAAAAACTCTAATAAGCTCTTTTTCATTTATATTTAGGGTGCTTGTTCCCAGTGAGGGGTGTTAGCCAGAGCTTCTGACTGCACAGGAAATTTGCCACTCGAAACCAAGTTTAGCATGGAGCTTCCAATCACATGCCCAGTCTTCCCAGTTCTCCTCCCCCTAATTCTGACCTATTCCCTCAAGTTCCCTCTTGTATTTCTTTTGAGTATCAAATTCCATTTAAGTTAAAGAATGATCAAAGGGCTTTATATCATCCTCCTTTCTTTTTTGCTAGAAGGGAACAATATAAGAATAGCTTTACTTCAAGATACGTTGAAGTATAAAGATATCTTACAGAGGATAAATTCTAATTACATGGTATCTGAGACAACATGTCTATTACCGTCTTTCTAAGTGTCTCATAAACAGTTCATAACAATTCTTCCCTATCCCTGACTCATTCTCTTGACAACACTCTTAAATGTTCATTGTCAAATGCTGAAGAAGAGTGGTCTATGCTGTGAGCATCCAGTCATTTTCCCCAGTACATGGCACAGTCTTAATAAATTAAGATCTAAGAATGACTGTTTCAAGAATGTTTCCTGAAGAGGATTTAAAGAACGTTTTACCAGAGAACTAGTATGAGTTATTCAAGTATCTGGGTTCATATACTGAAGTGATAATGCAGTTTTAAACAGTTATTACCTTCAGTGGGACAGAAAGTGTGTTTTTTCCCCTTTAAACCAATGGGTTTAAAATTGAGAAACCACTGGGGAATTTTTAAAAAGTGAGAAAGTTCATCCATTTTTAGATAGGTAGATAGATAGATAAAGACAGATAGAAAGAAAAGTGTGAAACTGAGTTAGCTGTATATTTTTCTGTTGATGTGGATAAAATACTCAAATTTAAAAACATATAGCCCTTCATATTCATAGCCAGTATATTTTAAAATACACATACTTTTATGAAAACAATCATATACATTTGGTCAGCAGAATATGAAAAACTAACTAACTTGTTTTAGAAGGAAAATATTCCACATTAACCTTTCGATTGGGTAACATTTTATTTTCCAATAACTTTACAAGGCTCTACTTTCATTCATATTGATGTATAAGTTAATCAAAACACTAATGTTTCTTTATATAATCTATAAAATTAATCTGGAAAACACTCACATATTAAAATAAATGTTGCATTAAAAATAGTTTGGAAAAAATCTCTAGGGTTCTATCAAATAACACATTTGTTTTAGTAAATGACTGAACGTAGTCTTTTTGACTAGTAGCTTAAGTCAAATATGCCCTTGACCCATCAACTGAGAGGCAGCCTGGTATAAGGGTAAGAAAAAGCACAGATTCTTGAATCAGATCATTTAACCTATGATTTCAGGCTCTACCAACTTGTTAGATGTGAGACTTCAGGCCAGTTACTCATCCTCTAAGTCTCAGTTTTCTTAGCTCTGAAATGGAGATCACAATACCACTGACTTCACATAGAGTTGTTATGAGAAAAGATTGATCAAGTATATTAAATCATGGTGTAAATGTTTTATACTACATCCACAATGAGTCAACAACCTACAACTATACTGTGATTTTAAGTTGTATTTTAATAGAGTAAAGTCATGAAGGAATTAAACATGTATTCACTATTAGCATACAAATACAATTCAGTCATAAAAGTCACCTAGTTAGCCTTGACATTATTCATTAGGTCACCCTGGAATTGAGAGATGGCAAGGAGATAATGTCACTGTTCTTTAACATAAACACTTTTATTAGCATAGAGAATTTCTTTCCAGATATAGTAATTCCAGTACCATAACATTTTCCAACATTTTCCACTGCCAGAAATTTAAACCAGTAATACAGGTCCATGAGAAACCTCTATTTATTGAAGAAAGCAATATTTTCCATGAAAATATATCTACTTAGTTTTGCAGTGGAGAAAACGAGATATTCTCTGGTTTTAATTCAAAGAGAAAAAACTCGACAACTTCTCACATTAAAAATGTACAGAGACAGCTCTTCTAGAATCAAGCATGCATTAGAGTATGGAGAAAACATCCAACAAGCACAACTCTCCAGCACTTAGTGAAACAAACCAACCGCTACCCAAAGAAGAAACTGAAGCTATAAATTCAAATAAACGGGCTGCAGGGAGACTACACAAACCTGCTGTTGCTTTAATTGCAGACAATTCAATTCAGCAGCTGTTGGTCCAGGCACTAAGGTTCACTGTATGCTCTTCAGCGTAACCTTGAAATATTGTCACTCACTCACTTCTCCACATCATCTGCATGCTGTCCAATTAATGAGGAGCGAAATCAACTGTCAAACCACGTATCAAAACAGAACATGATCTTTTAGCTCTTAAGCACAGGAGCAAAATATTTTAAGGACAATAAAGCAAGAATGGAGGTGAAAGTCCTTGACAATAAATGATATTCAAACTTATCAAAACATGTGGCTGTAGGAACTAAGCTTCTGTTCTGTTTAGCAAGAAAGTGAAACTTTCTCAAGGTTTTTGCATTTGGAAGGATGCTTTCTGTCTAGCTGCTGTATAAGAAGCCTTTCAAACAACATTCACCAATACCTGATCAGTCTCCAAGTTCTTCGTTATTATGGACCAATATGTTTCTGAAAGCTTAAGAGAATACTTAAGGAACACTCTGGTCCAATGATATTTTACAGATGGTTAGGAGCTGGCATTTTTAGCCTTGCTGTTTTCAGCACTTTTTTTTCTACCAGGAGAACAAACAACAATAATATAAATGTTCATCAATCTGAGTTAAAGAATGAAATAAAAATAAATTTACCAAACAAATGTGTTCTGGAATGCTTCCTATTTGAAATTTACTTACTCTTAACTATATCTCAAATCTAGACAACCAATTAACAAATACAAGAGTTAATAAACTCAAGAGAAACACAACATACTAAGTGTTTAAAAATTGTTTTTTGCTTCCAAAGCACTGTCTTCTGTGCAAACACTCTAGGCTATATCACATACTACCAGTTGCAGACATAAGACTTGGGAAATTCAAAACAAGAATACACCAGAGAAGCATGCACAATTAAGGGATCGGGACTACCAATTTAACAGAGAACCTAGATTTTACACAGCAATCTGCTACATACATTATAGCTAGGGGCAGGCATATTTTATGCAGCTATTTTGTTTAGCTCATTAGAATCTTATTTGTCCTTTAGTACAGTTGAACTGGAGGCAAAATAAGAGAGGAATGCACTTTGAAACAAAAGGAAAATTTCAGATAAAATAAAACATACTATACCTGTATATTGTACCAGGAACATCGTGACACTCTTCAGGGAACTGTTTCACGTTGTATCCTACCGTGAGTTATTCTCCCCTTACCCTCTTCTCTCCACGAAAAGAAAAGCCAAAGCACCCCAAACCGCCACTACACACTACCCCTAACCCACCCCCCCATTGAGGAAAAAAAAAAACAGCTACAATTCAGCTCAGATCCGATGCTTCTGTTTAGCTCAGCTCCAGCCGAGCAACTGAGCTCTAGCAACGGAGCATAGGGAGGTGGATTCTGATGCCAGTAGCACTTCCATCCACTTCACTTACACAAAAGCAGGCAGTGGAAAATCCAGGAGCCTTGAAGACAAGGGCTGGAACTGGCTTTTATGAATTGCTATTACTGCATGTGTCACCATCCATCTCCAATGACGGACACTTATAGGCTGAATTGGGAGTGGAGGGGGTGGGGTGGAGGAGGTTGGAGAGCAGGTGGAGAAGCAATTAGCAGTATGTTCATCGGAGAATTCGTTCGGGATTTCATACATCAGTGCCTAAAGAAACAGCATGCAGTTGACAAATCAGAACTTTACAATTTGCATGCCTTAGAAGAAATCTTAGCTCGCAGTCCCAAACAAAATGAAACTTGCCCACTCTTACGGAGCATGGGAAGTCACACCTCTGCTTTCTCTTTCCTCCAGCTACCCTTGTTCCTGAGAAATCAACATTCAGGATGAATATTTGCTAATTTTCCCTAAAGAACTGTATTTAAAAGTCTAGAAGCAAAGAAAGTACAAAGAATTAAATTATATTGAACATGATATCCCTTAACAAAAAGGCAAAAAGCTAATTATTTTAAGCCAACTTTTCATCCATATTCCCATTCCCCAGGTGCAGCTTTCATACCTAGAATCAGCGGATCACACAACTTTTGCACATATATTTAATACTGAAAAACTATCTCTGTATACCTAAAAATAGTTCAGTTAAAGTCAAGGTGAGAAGCTAAGAGTTACATGCAGGACTCTCTCCATATAACCTTTACAAAGGCACTTTACCTATAAGTGCTTTAGTTTTACTCATCTACTAAACTGAAGCATTTTTTTTAGATTTATTTCAAAGTGAATCATGAGTAGGAGCAAAAAGGAGATAGTCTCTCAGGAAGGAAACATGACACAATTGGAGGAGTACTGGGGCTAGATATCAGGAAACCTGGGTTCAGGTTCCTATTCTACAACTTTCTAGCTACGTTACCCTGGACAAGTCACTTAACTTCTTGGAGCCTAAGTTCCCTTATTTATAAATTGTACATAATTCTACCTATTCTGACTGCTTCCTAGGATTGCTGTGAAGAGCTAATGAGATAATATTTATGAAAACCCTTTTGTAAACTGCAAAGGGCTATAAAATTGTACGGTATTATTATTATTATACCCTGAAATAAGTCTTGCCTAAGTGACTGAAATGGGGAACCTCTATCATATAAGGAAAATAAAAAGAAAGGACCAATACAATTTCAGGAAACACTATCCAATCCTTCCAATTTTAAAATTAGAAGGAAGTACTGTTTGCTCTTATAATTCCATGAAAGGGAAATTTTTTGAAAAGAAAAAAAATTAATCTGATATATAATACATCAAGAGTTTATTAGATATTGAAGCCTGAATTCTTTCTTTGCTTTCTGAAAAGTCAGTCAATATTTTTGGTAAGATCTAATATTATGTCCCATCTGGAATGCAATCTACTTGACTATGAGCATCTCCTTTTGTTAAATCTTTCTATTAACCTAGTACATCTTTACTGTCCAGTGTGTGGAAAAGGATCAGGTTGTTTAACTAAATCTAAATCCACAAGGTAAAAATCCAAAGTCATGCTTTACTAGGCTCCAAGCTGCCTTGATACTATATATACAGTGACCAGCTGGCTTCAGCTGGGACACAATTTTAGCACATGAAGTCCTGGGGTGGCCACACCTGGGGCACTTAATGATCCAGGCAATGTTTGGGGACCTTTGGTTCAGCCAAATCCCACATGTCCTGATTTCCATCTGTATGGTGGTTTCCCAAGTGTGTGTCTGTCCACATGGGCCAAATCTGAAGCAGCCAAAAGAAAGGTGGGAGTTACAGCAGAAATATCAGATGCCAGCTCCCCTTGGCCCCCTCCAATACCATCTGTGTCCTCAAACAAGTGCCCAGCCCACTTCCTGTGAGAAGGAAAACTTTTTTTCTAATTGCCCCTTGAATGTCATTGCCAAAACTGAAAATTTCAGTAAAATATGTATCCAAAATCTATGTTAAATCAATGGGTTAAATGGATAATCTCAGTCACAAAGAGTTAGGTAAATGAGCAAGTGAGCCATTAAAAGGTGGAAGGGGAGGAGAGGGTATGGAGGAGAGGAGAGAAGAAGAGAAGAGAGGGAAGGAGAGTGAAAGAATCCGAAGTGAGAGCTTTTTTCTAAGCAGAGAAACACTTGCTGGAGTCATCCAAAACCTCATCTCCTAGAAAGTACTTGCCTTTTGAGGTACTGGGAATAGCCCTTTTACCACCACAGCTGCAATCCTAGCCTTCCAACTGCTTAGGTAAATAGTCAAGAGTTTGAAAAAGCATTGATAGCCCTAGCTCCAGAACTTACTTTCCTCTGGCATGTGGAAAGCCAGGCAGGTGGGACACAGTTTTCCAGGGTCATCTTCACTGCAACCCTCCACCACAGCATTTCCTGTGGCATGGCTGGCCACTAATAAAGGTGTCTGCCCAATTTCAGGTTTGGCAAAGGAAGCTTGCCTGATACTTTTAAAACCACACTGGTAAGAAAGGAACAAAGGCTGTATATATTTCACACTCAGGCTGTTCTGCCTTTGGGCATTGCAACGGTTCTCCACACATTTAAGCTTGAAATTCATATTCCCCAAGTTCCTCAGAAGGGTCATTCAAAATAAAGGGAAAAGGACAAGAAAGATGATTTTTTGTAGCTTCTCTCCCCACCATCAAAAGATGAGGGTCATATCCTGCATATGACTGACAGCATGTCCCAAAAGGCAATAAAGTGGAGTGGAAGGCAGTAGTTTCAACCCAGATTAGTAAGAATGTAAATTAAAGAATCAGAGAATCCTGATAAAAACACACACATAAACATATACACCAAAAATCACTGCAATGTTTCTGTCATCCTGATTTCAATCTCTAGAATGTAAGCACTAGTGGTTCCCTAATCCTCCTTCACAGCAGCTGTCACCAAGCCTGACCAATCTTTTCAAACGAATTCCTATTGTTAACCACCTTGGATTCTGAGTATTTTTGTCAAAAACAAAAATCTCAGTGGAAGATTTCAAATAACCATGAACTTGAACCAAACCATGAACCTAAATAGGGAGAAAAAACACTAATTTGCTAAACCCCAAACAAAACAGAAATGTTAATACTTTGAAAACAACAACTAGTGAATTAATTTGAACCAGAACAGAGCTTCATGTTTTCTGAATCAAACTTGTACTAAACACTGATAGTCCAATCACCTCAAGTTCCTGCAAAGAGCACACAGCAAGACTTGGTTTCACCTGCCTGAGAGTCCGCAATGAACTATATAGAATAAGACTGAATAAGGAGTTGGGAGAACTGCATTCTCCTAATTTTTTCCAATTTGACCTTGGTCAAGTCACTTACACTCTTTCAGACTCAGCCTGCTTGCCTTGAAATGGCTGGGCTGGGGTGACCAATATACCAGTCTAATACTCTATGCCAATTGTGAAATGTAGTCTAGCAACAAAATAGACGATGTCACAATTTGGCCCTAATCTCCAGGAAGCAGAGATGGACCACCCCAACTCTCCTAAGAATTCATGTTTCTAGCTTTTTTGAAATATGCTTCATATAAGAGTTGGGCAACTGTCTTTGCTCACTTGGCAAATGAGCCTTGGGAATAGTCAGCTTAGTATTCCTTTTAAGAATGTTTCTCTTCAAAATAATGTTTCAGGAGCAGTTTGTTTTTCTCAAATGAAAGCTACAGGTGAGCGGTCTGGTCCCAAAGAGGAGGAAGGAAGACAGTGATTTAGATTATGCTGAGCACCTATCGCATGCCAGACATGGCATCATACTTTATATCATTTTTCAAATTAGTCCTCACAACATAGTTATATGGTAGGTATTACCATTCTTATTTTATAGGCAAGGAAACTGAGGATTACTGATGTTAACTGATTTGCTTGCAGTCACTCAACTGGTAAGTGACGGATCCAGGATTTGAACTCAAGCAATGTGAATCCACTACTATACCAACAGTCTAATGATTAAAGTCTGAATGAATGAATTCTTTCTTAATTCAGTGATTCAGCTGGACTTGCTTAGTGAATAAATCACCTGCAGAGTCAATACAGTGAATGTAAACCTCTTTGCATTTATACTGCATAGACAATTTTTTAGAAAAAGTTTATCTGACAATGTGGTTAACACCACTGGGCTCTGGAGTCAGACAAATCTAAGTTTCTTGAATTCTGGTTTACGGACAAGTTACTTAACCACACTGAGTCTCAAGTTTTCTTATTTGGCAAATGGCAAAAGTAGTAGTGCTTACTCATTGGGTTGCTGGAAAGTGTTTATGATGTGATAGCAATTAGTACAGTGCTTGGCATAAAATAATTACTCAATAAATACATATTACAGCTATACTTGTATTCATAAGCAACAGAGCAAGAAAGGAAAGGTCATAAAGAGAAAGGAAACTAGGATTCATTGAACTCAAGTGCTCTTTGGCCTGTAGCATAGATTTAGTTTGAAAGAGGTTTTCAGTGGCCCACCCACACCCTCTAAAACTAAGCTGCATCTTGCAGTAGATTAGCATATTCATGAAGCAACATAATTATACTAATTGGTGGTGCCTAAGTAGTAGCAAGGAGACTTGTCATGTGCTCTGCTGAACAGCAATTGTCCCTTAGTTTCCTGGAATCTTCTAAAAAGAGGGCTGGAAATTAGCAGATAAGAGTACTGCTGGAAGTACGAGGTGGTCTAAGGCCCCCAACATTCCACTATTCTTCAAGCTCCAGCTTCTCTTTCATTAACTCATGGCCCTCTTTGCATATACTCCCCATCTCCCTCAGTTTATTCTAGTTTTATTGTGATTCTTCCCCTGGCTCTAGCTCTGTCTCTGCTCATCAGCATCAAGTGGTATCTACGGAATGTGTGTCTGGTACTGCACTAGGAAAAGTGGAGGGGCATCCAAAAGTTAATCAAAGAGACATGTGTCCCACAGCCAAACAAATCTAAGATCCACAGGTAGACCAGAGTTTTGGCAACAAAGTAAATGCAGGTATAATTGGATGATTTGTTTGATTTCAGGGCACAAAATAGTTTGTTCATCTAGTTAACGATATGCATAGTGAAGAATTTAGAATTATACAGTTGTTGGCAAGTTACTTTGAAATGCATAAAAAGAGGGATGAATAGGTGATAAAGCAAATGGAATACAGTGTTAATTATAGAATCTAAATGGTAGGTATATGGGTATTCACTGTACAATTCTTTCAACTTTTCTGTGTATTTAAATTTTTTCATCATAAAAAGT